GACCAATGACTTTACATAGCCCCACAGAAAATAGTCTAGCGGTGTTAAATCACAAGATCTTGGAGGCCAATTCACAGGTCCAAAACGTGAAATTAGGCGGTCACCAAACGTGTCTTTCAATAAATCGATTGTAGCACGATCTGTGTGACATTTTACGCCGTCTTGTTGGAACCACAGCTACTAGACATCATTATTGTTCAATTCAGGAATGAAAAAGTTAGTAATCATGGCTCTATACCGATCACCATTGTAACGTTCTGGCCATCATCGTTTTTGAAGAAGTACGGACCAATGATTCCACCAGCCCATAAAGCGCACCAAACGGTCAGTTTTTCTGGATGTAACGGTGTTTCGACATAGACTTGAGGGAACAACGGCAATCTCGTTTTGGGCCCATTCAACGAATCTACGCCTTCCTTGATGATCGTTTGGCTTCAATTCTTGCACGAGTTGGATTTTGTAAGCACGCAAACCAAGATCCTTCCGCAAAATCTTCCATAAAGTGTATGGACACAGATCCTATTCCTGTGCTCGATGGCGGATGGACTCATTCGAGTCTTCCTCAATGCTACGCTCTACAGTAGCAATAGCTTCTTCTGTACGCACCTTACGGCGTCTCTGGGGATGCGAGTTATCAATTAGAGTAAACGTGGTGCGAAAACGTTCCATGGTTAATCGAATTAACTGCTCTGATGGACGATTTTGTCGACGATAAAATGGACGTAGTGCGCGATACGTATTCCTCACAGAACCATTATTTTCGAAATAAAACTGCACAATTTGCAAGCGTTGTTCAGGCGTGAGTCTACTCATGATGAATTGCCAAACCAAACTGAGAATAAATCACTTGACAGCTGTCAAATCGGTCGCCATCTTCAAACGTGCCAACTTAAAGTTCTATGCCGTTTACAAAATTAAACTTCCTTCTAAACTTATTATGAATCACCCTCTAAAAGAACTACATATCATAGATTTGATGTCAGAAATATGGTACATGCCACTGACTCCTTAAGCTTTTGCGAGTATTGCAAAAGCGGACGACAGAACGAGTTTGGTTGATACCGTTTCGACTACATCTGTAACATATCATTTTATTCGATCATTTTTTTACTCAAGTTATGAAACACATTTAATATAAAGTCATTGCCAGCTTACTTACGATTCAAATAAATGGGGCGAGATGATAGCTTAGCGGTATTTCATACTAGTTATAATCATGTTTTATAAACTGGTTAGTAAAGTACTAGTTTTGTGCTCTACAAAATATCATAATATGACATATTAATATATTATGTTTAATAATAATCACACACGATATTCTACATTGAATTATTCTAGTGAGAGAGAGAAAAATTTTCAGTGTACTCAATCTAAAAGCTTGTACTTACCATGAAAATAATAAAGTTACTACCATATACCTGTAATACTTAGTTATGGGTTCCAACATGGCGCTTGGGTGCCATCTTGCCCATTACACAGCATGGTAGAGGATCGCTTAGTAATAACGTTAGAGTGGTGTCTCAGGAACAAAGCAGTGAATTCCATTAAAAGCTCCCAGAAACATGCGTTAACACAATACATTGCAAAATTTCAATCATTGATAGATAGATAAATATATCCCAAAATATCGTCATTGACTTATAGTTCTCGACATAACATCTAATTTATCTATCTCTTCATATACCGTCATTAAACAAAATTTGTAATTTTTTGAAATACACGTTTTTTGCTGCGGCTTCACAGTTTTGTCATACTTTCAATCATAATGATTAAGAAATCCCGGAAACAAATAATACAGGGCCTAAAATGTATTGCAAATTATGCAATATCTTCGTTTGAATACTCCTAAATCCAAAATTATTACTTTTTTGTTTCTTAAAAATCTAAGATATGTCGTTGAAAGTTTCTTGAACACAACTTTTAATGGTGAAGCTATTCCGTTGGAGTAACCAGTAGCCTGAATTTATTTTCTGGTGGACACTTCAAATTCATGTTACTAAAATTGAACTTCACTCATTGTCTGGCCAAATGAAACCACATATACTTGAATTACTTTTTACCGACGTATTCGGTACTCCGGTGGCCTTTTTTAAAGCACAAATAACAATGATACTTAATTTATATATTATAAAAAAATGTTCCAGTGTTCTAAAGCAAAACTAAAGAACTTTATGTGAAGCGTTAGTAATGTCAAAGATTAGATTACATACATACTCTATATCATATGTCTGCGGACTAAATTAAACATTTAAAACATACATTTGTGTGTGGTTCAAGTTCGACTCTCACCACTGGAATTTCGGAAACGGTAAAGGATACGAGAAATGGGGGGTGAAGCTACGCATTTAGGTGACTAAGAAAATCGAAATTGAAAAGTTCCGCAGTTCCGAAACTGAATTTTCCCAATATCGTCTACAGTTTTTCCTGACTTGACTAGAGATGGGATTTAAAAATTAAAAGTACACCAGCATTGCCACTTCTTCTATACGAGGTATAATTATAATTTTAATTTGGCATTTTGTCTCTTGTCCTCAACTATTAACTTTACTTTTTCTTATAGACGCCATACAATATTTTGGAACAGGTAGATAGAGCTTTTAATGCTGATTCCAAAAATGTATAATGTGTCCTACATTGACATTGCTAAACCTTGGTTATTTCAGAAAACGTAGTTCTTGAAATTCCTTCAGTTTTTGTGAACTATTTCCGATTTTAATGTGATATTTTACATATCATGGATTGATATTATAAAGCTTCAAATATCTAAGAAAGTAGTCTCCCTATAGTTGGTTGATTTTCACTGAATAAAGAACAACGTGAAACTTTTGCATATCATTTAAAGGTAGTATTGAAAGCACTACTATATGTTTTTTACACCGAAGCAGCTGCTCCGGCAAAGCCTAAATGGAGATGAGGAGGTCATGTGGAGAAAAGTTCTGCTTAGCCCTAAGCAAATAGCCTAGCTCTTTCCCAGCAGCTGCCGCTATTGACGAGTTGTGTTCGTGCCGGATCAAGTCCTTGGTTATCTCTATCCGAACAGATGAAATGACTGGCTCTTTGTTCGTCAAGATACAGGACTGAGTTTTCGAAGCATTGATTGTTGCGCCTCGAAGCAGTGATAACCTCCAGGTCTCTTGTCAGAGATGAAGTCGTTGCTAGTCTCCTTTTCTCCAGCTCACCGGCAGAGATCAATCTGCATTCCTGCAGTGTTTTCTCATCAGCAAAGCTGTGGATTTGATTGATCGAACAGGAAAGGAGGTCGTTGATATGTAAGGGGAAAGGTGTCAGAGCCGAGACCGATCCCTGAGGAACACCCGTGTTGACGCTGTGGGATGAAAAGGAGAACCCATTAATTAGGACGGATATCTGGCGACCACAGAGGATGTCAGCCCCATCTCCAAAACTCCTCTGGGAGGTCCGAGGATGGAAGCTTACATACCACAAACGCTTTCGTGATATCAAGAGCAACGACATAAGCTTCACCATAATACTGGATGACCTTACTCGACAGCTGCGTGCCGAAAATTAGGAGGTCCCCTGAGGATCGCAGGTGCAGCAAAAGCTGTCTGGTGATAATCAAGCCGATTTGTAACTGATAGAAACATTTTGGAATAAATTAAAGCCTCGACGATGTTGCAGCTTCCTAAGCACATTTAGTAGCCGTCATTTCTGAGCAGGTGCACACTCCTTACGTTCAAATACTATTTAACTTTGGCTGAGGTGTCCTGTAGAGTGCCTCCATCCGTGCAAAGATCACTATTGTTATAGTCCATACTTAGGCAAATCATCTGACTGACCTTTAAGAACGCTTCTCAAAAACGTGACTTTCAAGGTCAACAAAGAAAATACTACTTCCAAAATCTGTTAACCTGTGCACAAAGCAAAACTGGTTATTGAGGATAAGAGACGGAAAGTCAAATTGAAATTCTACTTATACCACCACCTAGAGGAGCAAAAACAGCAATGTTAATGTGCAATTTATTTTGAAATACCACGTCAAATAAGGTCAGGGAAAATAAAAACGATTTTCCGAAAATTCATTTTTACCGCCTCTTTCCGGAAATACTCTAAATTGCCAAACTGCATAAGTGACATTTTCTAAATTATCTAAATGCGCAACTTTACCGCCATCTTACTGACTTCGTATCTTCAACCAATTCCAAGCTTTAGGTAGATAATTTGTTCAGCTTATTTTCAATATTGCATGATTGCGTTTAAGAGATTAATTGGTGAAATAACTTGTAAAAAACTCATACTTATACTCATACCTAATACCCATGTTAAAGGATAATTCTGAATGAGCGACACGAACTAGCTTAAAAATGGATACTTTTTTGGTTGTTTTTCCTGAACACTACTTGGATTTTTGATTTTTTGGTGTTACTACCTTATTATTACTTTTCCATATACATTTTTTATTCATTTCTTTATATATTTTACCAATATTGTGGTTAGAAAAGTGTTCTGGTGCAGATGGTCTTATGTTGTTGGTTTAATAAGGTGCTAGTGCAATGGGTATATTTTTTTCAGTCTATATATAGGAATATTTTTGTTCATTTGTTACGTTCACGGTAAATTGAAGGTTTATCGATAGGGAAAAAGAACTAGTGCGCTTTTAGTCGTATTCACCGTCTCCTCTTCTTTTTTTAGGTCGAGTTAAAAAATATCATATAGGTAATCCTCCGCCTTTTCGATTTTGATGTTAATCTGCCAGTTATCCTGTTTTTTTTTACAAAATCGAATGAAGACACCATATTATCATTATTATTATACGTATTCTTATTATCATTACTTATTATTATCATTATTCTATAAGTTCTAACCAACCTCAAGCGCTACCTTGAGTAAGTACATGCTGTATGAGCCACGCGGGGTATGAAACAGGATTTTCGCAAAACCTTGGTCCAAAAAATTCGCATGGACTGCGTAACCCCATAGGAGACCATCGGGTGAAAGGTACCCGAATTGAAACAACACCGCCGTTCTGCGAGACGTCCGTCGAAGGTACCACACCCATCGGTGGTACCCAGTCTGCTTTTTCACTATAAAAACGGCACCACCCGATCTAGCTGACACAGTTCGCAATATCGACACAAGCTCACCAACATGGCATACAAAGTGAGTACTAGTGGGTGGAAGTCTTCAGTAATTTTCGAAAATACGTTAGTGCGGTCAGTGAAAACGTTTTGTGATTTTGACGAATATCCGTGGGAAAAGGGTTAGGGGTATAGATACCGAGTCTAAGGAGATACAGGGCAAACTTTTTTCAATTATCTTTGCACACAGCTCCCTAGTTAATAATATATAGACGATTTTAAAACATTGGCATTCTCTGTAATATAGCTTTCGTTCGTCGGACCACAGACGGTCAACCTTAGATAGCTGTTTCGTGCTATTTGGCAACTCATCAGAATGGTCTAGGATAAGTCTTAGGTTGGTCAACGAACGAAAGCTGAGCAATCATCCAGGGTATAGAATCTATCCAAAAAGACAGCGCAAGTTACCATCTATTACCAAAATCAGTAGTCGATTCTAGTAATAGATGGCTGATCTCTATTTACATTCTTTGTTACACATTTTTCTTCTGTTGCAGTTAAATTTTTAAGGAAAATTTTATTTCATCGATTCAAATCTGGAATATTTTTTCATTTATTAGTATCCTGATAATAAAGAGGAGTAAAGATATATAAAAATATTAATTAATTGAGTACAGTTGAATAGGATGTGGTAACAATTATAATGAAGATTTTGAACTGTGTCATTCAAGAAACCAGAGAGTGTGTACCTGAAGCTCTATTCCCGCGTCCAAAAAATTGTCTGAGGCAAAATAGGATACAGCAGCGTCATCTGTTATCTGTTATCTGTTGTTTCTCTATTTACTATCTGTGTTCAATTTGAAAATCTTAAGATATTTGGTAAGAACTGAAAAAGTAAGTAGATATGGACAAAATACGGGATCATAGTTAACGAAAAATTCAGTACTCTAGCTATGACAGTTTAAGTCAAAGTTGAGTGTTTTTTTTTTGATAGTTTGTCCAATATCTCAAGAATCCGAAAATAGGACCCAGTGGTTATATCAAATTACTTAGTTAGACACAGTGTAATTCAAATCTGTAATAAAATGTGATGCTTTTCACTCAAAAAATCAATGTTTGGGTCACCGCATAGTTATGAATCACCCTGTAGAAAAAAATTCAACCTATGACTACAGTTTTTGTGATTAACCATTTTAGATACTATGCGCAATAACAGAGCTTTGCGCACTAAGAACTCCCTGTATTTAGGTACAGATAATAGCGCCTAAATTTTTCTAGGCAACCTTGCTGTGAGCTATTCTACGATTAATTATCATTGATAAAAATTAAGTTTTATGAGAAGAAACAAATACCTTCAGATTCAAGCGGCCAGATCTCTCAACGGGTTGTTCTCGTTTATTAATAATAATATGAATTTTTTGGTGACCGGAAAGCAGAAAATCAAACTATTCATAAGTATTTTTAGTTTTGTCCTCGGAATAAATTTAATGAAAATATTGAATATTGGCGACTTATAAGCTCCGAAGAGCTACTGAATAAGAAGGCAGTTAATTTATGTTCATTATACAAAATTGCTTCATTTTTAAACTCGTTATTTTATATTATAGGTTGAAACCCATAGCAATATCTGCACTAATTAAACATTACACGCATAAGCAATCTTCTTGATTATCATAACAATCACTTTTCCCACTTTATTTTAATAATCATGCAACTGACAACATATTAAAAATAATAATTATAAAGCTGACCAAAATCTCGATGCATCCTCATTTAACAGATCAGTAAAAACGATAATTTCACATTTGTGGTATCATTTGGACTTCGTAAATATGAGGAAAACTTGTTTCAGGAAGAGTTCAGTACCATAGCTTGTTACTACTATTTTTTAGAATAACCGGGATATTGTTGATAATTGGATAATTGCTTTTTATGAATATTTCAACAATGAACATCTATGCGGCTACGAAACTTTTGAATAAACATGGTTTAGTACCGTATTTCAAATTATTGTGAATATTTGTCCACAACTTTCTCCGGTATAAAAGATGTAAATTTATAGTAGTTGCTAACAAGTCATCTGTATTTGTAGGATACTGTATCTTAGTGGGAAATCTACAGAAGCAATTTTGTTAATAAAAAAGAAAGAACTATAATTGACAGTTGGAAAAGGCTTCCGGATGGATGAGCTAACTACGTAATTCTAACATATTACCCCAATAAGCCGTACTTTGTTTGCGTGTACTCGTGATAGAGGAAAGTGAAAATTTGCATTGAGAAATCTTAGTGTGGCAAGCACCAACCAGGGGAGTTCAAAACTAAATTGGTATCTTGTTGAAAATGTATAACATAAATTGGTGACCTTAGGAGTATCCTATACAAATACTGAGATATTTTTTTCATACCATTCTAAAACATTTGTATATGGAACTAATTTCGCTACGACATCAAACATTTTCAGCAACAAGCTAACTTAGTTTTTCATTCTCCTGGTTGGTACTCACCATTTCATTAGAGTTTCAAGTTTAAGCGTTTGAATTTTTTGCGCACATTTGTCGATCACGTAGTTAGTTGTTAGTTGCACCATTGATGCCACATTCTACATGAAAATAGCCAACCATGTACTGCGTTTCGGCGTCGACGAAGGGATCTGAAAGATGCTAGCGCCATCTATGATATAGTAGCAGAACACAGAAGTAAATTGTTCTTTTTTATCTCAAATATCCTTGTGCCAATTTTGTTAAATTTTTAATGTGCTGCTAACTGCAACAAGGCGCTATGTTAGCACTAACTAGAAGATCATTTCCAGGATTGTCTCGGGAAACAGTCTCACGATTAATATTGACAAAAAGATGTAAAAAAATATATATAGTTTTTTCGATTTAGACAAATGAAAATGCAACTATTTTGTTTCTTACTTTGTCTGTGTATCCCACTTCGTTTCTCAGGAAAAAATTAACAATAATTAATTACTTGTTGGAAAATTGTTAAAATAATAGAATTTTGTTTTCAATCCATGCACAATATTTATTTATAAGTAATTTTGAAATTAAGGATCGGAAAGTAACAACAATTTGACAAGATATGTACAAAAAATGTTGAAATTGACCACCTACCGCTTCTATTAAAGCTTCTGCTCTCATATTTGTATAACCTTTCGACATGTAATCAAGTCGTTTTTATGTTTCCATTGAAAAAGAAGTAATGTACGGAGTGACACCAAGAGACAAACAAGTTGTGTCATTAGTTGCTTAATACAAAAAAAACATATTTATTAAAAAGTCAGTGGCGTACACCTTTGTCAATAGTATTCGTGATATCGCCCCTAGAAATGCCACTGGAATTCATAATTATCTTTTAGTTGGGGCTAGTTTAGCGTCAAAAATACTGCACAGGGATCTTTGAGATGTTGGTAGAAAACAAAACTTTTATAAGACTTTGACACACTGAATCTTGAGAACCAGACTTTTTAGGACACATGTTTATGTGAACCTTTTTAATTAAATTTAAAATTAACTAACACTCTATATATGAGCATGAATATATAAGCGCCTAGGTGTCTACAGCGCGAACTATGAGACACTAGTACATTTCTAATTACTGTGGAAACAAGAAATGTGACACATAGATTCATTATTACGTTAATTTTATTACATGAGATCATTTTCTGTTTCAGTTCGTAGTCTTCGCCGCTTTGGCAACAGTAGCCCGCGCCGGAAACCTCGGCCTGGCAACCTACGCTGCCCCCGCAGCTTATGCAGCCCACGCCGCGTATGCTGCCCCCGCATATGCCGCCCACTCGTACTCTGCCCCCGCATATGCCGCCCACACATACGCTGCCCCCGCATATGCCGCCCACACATACGCTGCCCCAGCCGTTGCTAAAGTAGCTTACTCCGCAGCACCTGCAGTCTCGTACTCCAGTCTATCTGCCCCAGTAGCATACGCCGCCCATCAACCTGCTGTAGCCACTTATGCCGCCCCTGCATATGCCGCCCACACCTATGCCGCCCCTGCTATCGCCAAATACGCTGCTCCCGCTCATCTGTCGTACGCTGCTCCAGCCATCTCATATGCTGCACCAGTAGCTAAGGTAAGTAGTTTTTGAAAGACAGTATATCATTTAAGTATCTCAGGCTGATAAGCTGATAAGGAACTTGTCTTTGTGTGCCAAACAACACGGTGATGTACAAATTAAACAATGTCAGCAAAGCGTAAAACAGTATGTTCATAGTTCACAGAGTATCCGCCTTTATGTTAATAATTACACAGACCGACAAAACGACTGATACAAATCTCCCAATTGGCTCTAGTTTCAATTATGTAGCAAGGCAAATCATTACAAGCCTTGCCCTTCCAAACGCCGTTGAGTTCACTTAAATATCCTTTCTTTCGCTGAAATATGACACCTAGAAATTTTCATTTATTCGAATTTCATTATATTTGATTGTACACATGATTATTAGCTGTGTGAGGTTTGGGCAATTTTTGGATACTGCAAGCTAGATCGGTTCAGGTTTTATAAGATGATAGTAATTTTTCGTTTAAAAAATGCGTTCAATCGAAAGGAAGAACGTTAAACTCGGCCTTGGCTAGATAGGGACATTTTATGGGTTTAGTGTAAATGATTAATGGGCATTTAGTTGGCATGCCTTATGACATAAAGATACATTAACTTGTTATTAAATTTTTAATGTATTTTAATTCAAGCCACTTTGCAATTTACTTTGATGCACACGAGATCGTGACGTGTATCTAGAGTAAGACATATAGTTAAATTCAGAAAAACACGAATTTCAAAGTGCTATATCTCAGCGCAAAGAAAATATATTTAAGCAAACTCAACTGTATTTGAAAGGACAAGGCTTACTTTGAGATGGTGTCTACGGTTTCTTGAAAAAGATCGCCATGTTACAGAACCTCACATTTAAACAAACATCGCTATTTTTACCCTGAAACTAGAGTGGGTTGAAAGATTTGAACCACGGATTCGGATTAAGCGTATCAAAAACTTTTTGGAAACTATACTGTGGGTACACATCTGTATTAACAAGAAATTCTTCATCTAAATCTCTTTTTTTTCAGGCTGTTGCCCCAGTAGCTTACGCCGCCCCTGTAGCCAAGGCCATCGTTGCTGAACAATCAGCTCCAGCTCACTACGATTTCGGATACGCTGTCAGCGACCCCCACACTGGTGACAACAAGAACCAACAAGAGTCAAGAAGGGGTGATGTTGTACAAGGTAAGAACAATTTGAAAAGGTCCAACTTGTACAGTTCATGCATTTTCTTAACAAAAAGCGTATAATATCCCTGGACTATTCCAAATCAGAATTAATAAAGATCACTTTGATTTTGATTTTATAGCACCCAAACATGTAATTCCATATGAGCGGTTTTCGATCTACATGCTTCAAAATGAATATAACTATTTCAATACAAAATACCCCAGCAACTGTATACTCGTAAAATGGTATGCAATTCAAACAAGTTGCTTACGCCTCTTAACGAACAATCATGAATCAGCGCCAGCGACCTAAATTTAGCTGTCATTGGGACACCCTAGCCGTATTGTCGACCCGTTGGAGGCCCCTAAAAATTTCTTGTGAAGGACCTTGTAGACCTTAGATCTGCCACTGCCTAGCAACGACTAAATAAAGACAGTTCTCGTAGTCATCCTATTCTATGTGATACGTAATTTATACATAGCGAACGATAAAATTACTTTACTGCTCTAGGGTTTAAAAAAGTGGGACTGAACGACCAGAAGACTGACTCGGGCGTAGATAAACATTATTAATAAAGTACTCTCGGCTAACATTGTTCCTGGATTTAATTAGTAATGTCCCAATGTATAGTCTGACTGGCGTTAGTCACTCTACACGAGTGTTTGCAAAGGTTTACTAATATTTCCTAGAAGCTCTGTGTTCTCCACACTGCCGTTCATGTTCTTGAACACATCAGTAAAACTCACAACAAATCATCATAAAACTGGGGTCAAAATTAGTTTGGATCAATATTAGAGCACCATTAGACGGATATTTATGGACAGCTTTTACATGCTTTTTGGCAACTCATCAACGGGATATAAAGTCTGTCGAAATAAGATAGCTCAAAATGCAATCTAATACCAAAATCCACCACAGCGAGAGTGAAAAAGCAAGCAGTGTATTGGAACTGTATTACAATTCGCATATTATAGCCGTGTCACCACCCTGGCCGCTAGATGTCGCCAATTCTGGTGTTATAGTATATAATAGCTTATTCATCCGCGAGTAGACCGTATCTACTATACAACCAGAATTAGCGGTATCTAGCGGTGGTGTTCCAGCTGACTATTTCACACACGCACTGTGGTCGATTATGGTTATGGTAATAGATCACACTTTGTGCTGTCTTGTATCATCATGATCAGTCTCCATGTTTGTTTCTTTTCTCCAGGCAGCTACTCGCTGATCGAGTCCGACGGAACCAAGCGCACGGTCGAATACACCGCCGACCCCCATAATGGTTTCAACGCTGTGGTCCACAAGGAACCCGCCCAGGTTGCAGTCAAGGCTGTCGCCCCAGTTGTAGCCAAGGTTGCCGCCCCCGTGATCGCTAAAGTAGCCGCCCCAGTTGCGTACGCCGCCCCCGCTTACGGATATGCTCATGCAGCGCCCGCATATGCTGCCCCATCCTTCAGCTACGGTGCTCCCCTTTACCACCACTAGAAGACTACGATAGCTTGTGTGGATTGTTGTATATATTTATTTATACCTCTTTTTTATATTTTTAAGACAAAATAAAAAAAGATGATAAAAATTAGAGTTGGATAATTTATTGAGACCGTTTTATCTTACCAATTCATCCCAGGGTGAGATTCTGGAGGATTTCTTGATGCCCTCTCATGATATCTTTCTGATACAGTAGAGGTTATTAGAAATAACAGCGAACAAGTTGGTACCGTTAAAATGCCATGATTTAATAATTGTATCTAAGTCTAAGACAAGAGGTATTCTGTGTGGAAGTAGGCGAGAAATTTGACGATCTCCACCTACCAATAGTTTGCCAATCCGATCTTCATCCTCATTCCACACGGTGAAGATTACAAAAGATCAATGCGCCTTTGGCTCATAGCTGCACAACGTTATGTGCAATGCAATCAATCCATCTAGTAGTCGGAATAGCAAGTATCCATAGAGCAGCCCAACAATGGCTTTCTATACATATGATTGACGAGATGTCGAGCCAGCCGGTCGAACCAACTAGACCTCCTGATAATAAATGTAAATTTTGTGCCAAATTTTGTTCGGCTAGTGAAGTAAAATGTGCTAATGTGTTTACGTCAAATCCTCACTTTTAAATTCTCAAACGGCTAGTTCGTATTAGATATAGTCATGTACTGATTTTGAATTGTTTGTTTAATAATTATTAATTATATATTAAGTTGGTAGTGTTTCTGTTAATCATCCATTCTTAATAATACTTTACTTTTATATTACATCCATATTGTTCTATTTGCATATTTATGTTCGTTATATTATTTGTTGTCCTAAGTTAGGGTTAAGTAGGGTAGCTGTCGCTAGACTTCGCCCTATGTTCAACCGTTTATGTATTGTATATGACAATACTTTAATAAAGGCATAATAATAATAATAATATATGCATAAATAAACATGGTTGAAAAGCACATGCTTTCTGTATCTGTAACTATGAACAACTACAGACAGCGCTATTTCATGCTCATTGCGAGGGATGTCTTTTAGGTTTTCCATATAGAAACATAGTAGGCCGCGTGGATCGAACGTCAGTACTGAATCTTAACCTCACTCTTTAGTAAACTTAAATTCAAAGTTTCACAACAATACGTGCAGTGTTGTCACAACAGTGAATTTTTAAGTGTCACCAAGTCATTAGAAAAATGGAACTCAACCGAGAACATTTTCACGCCATAATTTATTACAACTTTCAGAGACATGTGACATCTCGCGGGATCGAGGTGTCCTTGAAGATCTCAAAGACCTCAATTCAAAAAATTTTACATGAAGAATTAGGAGTCAGAAAACTAGTTTCTCGTTGGATACCCCACCTGCTGATTGAAGAGCAAAAAGCAGCCAGGGTTAATGGGTGTCAAAAAACGCTTGACCGTTTCAATTCCGGAAAGTCAAAAAATGTGTACAGCATTGTTAGTGGTGACGAATCGTGGATTTACTGTTATGAACCAAAAAATAAACGACAGTCGACTGTTTGGGTGTTCCAAGGTGAAGAAAAGCCAACAAAAGTCATCCGTTCTCGAAGTGTTTCGAAAAAGATGGTCGCGACATTTGTGTCAAAAGCGGGTCCTATTGCAACAATTTCTCTTAGTGAGCAAAGAACTGTTACTGCGGATTGGCATACCACCATTTGTTTGCCAAAAGTCATCACCGAGCTTCGAAAAATCAACCCCGAAAGATGAATCATCCTCCACCAAGACAATGCAAGCTCGCACACAGCCCAAAAAATAAGGCAGAACGGAAGAAAACGCGGAATTATTGGACCATCCTCCATATAGTCCCGATCTAAGTCCTAACAATTTCTTTACTTTTCCGAAAATTAAAAACAGACTGCGTGGTCAAAGGTTCCAGTCACCAGAAGAAGCAGTTGACGCATTCAAAAATGCCGTTTTGACTTCGTGGAGAATACTTCGAAAAACAATAAAGTCATTCAAAACTACCTACCGTGTTGTTTTATTTCCATATGCAAAACTTAAAAGACATCCCTCGTAGCAACTTATGAGTGCAGTATAAGTGTAGTAGTCATGAAGACGGATGAAGGGAACGCAAACAAAAAACTCAAAAAGCTATGTGGAGAAATTTGGCGATCTCCACCTAGTCAGTGGAGAAGTTTTTCAAAAGAACATACCCTCTTGGTTGCTTTCCGTTCGTATGACCTCAAGGCTACTAGATCTATATTGCACTGATGAGTCGCTAATGAGCATGAAACATCGTCGTCTGAGGTTGGTCATGGTAACATTGAGGGGGAGTGTAGCGGAGCTTGCTCCAGTTCTATCGCGTTTCTTCCAGATATCTTACGAATTCAGCACCTTCCCAAAAAACTGGAAATTCGCTCATGCTCAGCCTATCCCAAAGAGGGATCTAAGACCAACCCTTACAACTACAGGCCTATCTGTTATAAGTAAGGTCATGGAGATGTGCGTAAATCGCGAGCCTGTGGTGAGGCTCATGTTGTTGCTCTTGTTATCATGAAAGCATTCCATTACCTGTGGCACGCTGCCCTCTTATGTCAGCTTCCATCCTATGACCTCCCAGAGAAGCTTTGCAGGTGGGTGGCTGACTTTCTCTCTGGCCGCAAGATATCCATCGTAATTGACGGGTTCTCCTCTTCGTCCCGCAACGTCAACGTGGGTGCTCCCCAGGGATCGGTCTTGGCTCCGACACTGTTCATCTTACATATCAACGACCTCTTTTCCTGTACGATCAACCCAATCCAAACAAAAAACATCCCAGCGTTCATCCGGTTTCGATCGATGGCCGAGTTCTGTCAAAGAGCCATACATTAAGTCCCGCTCACCAAGGACTTGATCTGGAACGAACGGCAGAAACTGCTGGGAAAAAGCTAGGCTGTTTGCTTAGGGCTAATAGGTACAAGACCCAGATAAGACCTAGTCTGAATTATTGCTCTCATGTTTGGGGTGCTGCCGCCCAGAGTATATTATCCTTGCGCGGAGCGCTGTCCGATTGATCGGTGGATCTTGTCTAACAAAAAGTCTCGGGACCCTTTCGCACCGGCGGGCTGTCGACGGTCTTGCTCTCTTCTACCGCTTCACCAATAGGCTTTACTCCTCAGAGCTCTCCTCCAAGATGCTGCCGCGCGATGTGCCTGACTTCCGCCTCTCATACTAACCGTGTCAAACTTCGTACACCCAGAACTGACCGATACGACCACTCCTTCGTCCCTAGGCTGTCGAGATTGTGGAACAATCTACAAGAGGAGGCTTTTCCCAGTTCCAGATCGGATTAACAAAGTTTCTTTGGAATCCTAATAGCAGCCGCGATGTCCTGGCATTCAGGCTTCGCCTGCACGGCTGCTTCGGTGTAAAAAAACAGACACGGAAAAACGTTGATTTCAACTTTATTCAGTTGTTCCATCTTATATTTATTATTGGGGCTGCGTACAACGAAAACACTTTTTTATCAATCAAGATCAAATTACAGTGATTGTATTTTTTTCCTTATTTAGCACCCATTTGTCGGTGCGGCACGATAAGCAAGAAGTCGCATTACTAACAATGAGTATCATAAGTGTTTCAAAAGTCTTATTTCGGACTTCCATTGACTATGCAATTTTTGAGAATGATCTCAAAAGTTGTATAGACAATGGAAGTCCAAAATAAAACTTATGAGATGAGTATAATATCTTCAAACACCAACATGCCTCCGGTTTCATTTTCC